CACTAATTAGTCAAATTTTATCTCTTATTTGTAAATATGTAGATGATAAAATCGTAAATAAGTATTTTATTGTTTCTGTTTTTTTTAACATGCTTTTATATGTATTTTTAATAAATATTATTTTATTCAACAATACGTTATTTAATATTATTGAGCTTTTTTTTGTGTGTGATAATTTTAGCCAAATTTACTCGTACACATGAATTGCTCGGACTTACCGGAGAGGTCTTAGCGCAGCAGAACGTGAAGCATTTGCTGAATGTGGGAGCCATTAAGCTGATCTCTTCTTCTTCTCCTACCGATCTGTCAAGTCCAACCAAATATTTTATTTTATACATCTAAATAAACTAGAGAAAACGCCCCATTGTATATTTGTATTATTGACTTGCATTATTGATTACTACTCAGTACTCACGTCGGCATTCACTTTTTTTATCCATAACAGATTTTTAATTTTATTATATTTGAAAGTAGATAATGCGATAACAGAAGCTCAAATATTAAAATATATGGAGATGATCTATATTTGGAATGGTTCTCTAAAATTATTAGTTCCATATGCAATAGAATACTATGTATACATATTTTGCAAGCTTTTCTTGGCTTAAAATGCTAAAGAAGAACAAGATGGCTTTTCATTAGGACCGAAGGGTCCCCGATAAGTCATTTTTTTTTTTAATCACATTTTCCATTCTAAGAATCATTACAATATTATTATTAAAATACTTTAAATTAAGTTACAATCTACTTTGGGGAAACAAATGGTCAACTATTGAGCGATCTTAATAATCCCCCACAAACATCTAGAGTCGTTTTGGGTTTTTCAAACATAAAAATGATGATATAGATTTCATGTATGTTTTTTCTTGTGCTAAGAAAATCGATTTGATAATCGCTAAAAAAATGAAATACCTAAGGGTTAGGGACGAAGGCGAAGCCGCGAAGGACTTGGTATGCTCTTTGTTGGCCAATTGATAATAGCTCCTCAAAAACCTCTACGGACGAAGACGATAATGCATACAATTTTGGGAACTGAAATAAAAAAGGTTATCTCCAACAAAAAAACAAACGTAATTTATAAAAAAATATTTGTGAAGAAGATTGGATATGGTGTTTGGATTTTCGATGTTTTAAGGAATTATGACGACCGTTCGAGCCATGTGGGGGCTTCCGTTACAGGATAGAGAAAGCGAAAGGTGAATGAAGCAGGGCTTCTTCTTCCATTTACTTTATTTTTATACGTTTTATCTAGTACTAGTACAAATCACAACTAAGTATAAAATCTGTATGCATTTACTGATATTAAACAAAAAAAAATTAATATTAGAAGATAATCTCATAAGATTTAATTTCC